TTATTTTAAAAGACGTGTCATATATTGATATTGTTTTAAAAAATGTGTCAAATTTACATTGTTTAAAAATAATAGTTGGTATAGAGTAAGTATTGCAACCTTGTTTCTATATATAAGGTTGCAAACTTATATAAACCGAGGAAAGAGTTTATATAAGGTTGACACCTTAAAATATAGAATTAGGGTGCACCTCAAAAATACCTTGAAAAATGCTATTTTGATATTCAAAATGAATCTAGTTGATCATCTCGACATCAGGATATATGAATATGGAGAAAGAAAGTGCTCATGTCCCAAAAATAATATGTCTTGCAATACAGTATTTGGACTGTCAATTTTCAAGATTTTCATGTTTAATAGATCTGTTTGATTTGAACCATTTTTAAAATTTAAAAATCTTATAATTCATAATGAAAATAGATTCTTATGTTATCTTAATAATTTTCTATTCGAAAATCACATCTTATGACAAAGTTTCGAGGTACACGTCCCTTTGATTCTTTAAAATTACAACTTTATACAAACCACATCCATATAATAATATAAGGAAGGGGTTAAAGGGAGAAACATTGAAAGTTGAAATTAAATCATTCGTCAATGAGGCGTGGTGTTTACTTTGTTTCTTTGCTACGCGTTCTACATTGGGGAGTGCGACGAATGAATAGAACAATGCCTTCTCTTCTTCCTCTCTAATCTTGAACTTGAATTGACTTTACATATTGGGGTTTTAAAGCATAACAGTTCGAAGAAACCCACAAATCTCATGTGAGACAAGTTTGTTGCAAAAATACTAACCTTTGATATTCCCACTAAAATTTAAGGTGGGATTTTACAAAGGAAAAGTTTATATAAGGTTGACACTTTAAATTTTAGAATTAAGATGTACATAAAAGATTCATAAAAAAACGGCTATTTTAATGTTAGAAACCATCTAATGGATCATTCGACATCAAGATGTATGGATACAGAAAAAAAAAAGGATTTCAACTTCTAAAAATAGTACATCTTACACCACATTATTTGGACTATCCATTTTAGGATTTTCATAAGTTTATAGATCTTCTTGATTTGAATTATTTTTGGAGTAAAAATTTTATAATTAAAAATAAAAATAGATTCTTGGGCCATCCTAAAAATACAAGAGCAAAATTGCATCTTATGACGAAGTTTAAAGGGGCACCGTGATTGCAACATTATGCAAACCTCACCCTTTTACTTTGATTATTTAAGATTGCAACATTATGCAAACCTTACCCTTTTACAAATAGGGGATGATATAATTCCCAGGGTGACGAGCAAAAGCTTGGAGCAAGTAGTAATCCCCCTTAAAAATATACACTATTCGTCCTCCACCTCATAGTTGGTTTTCATTCACGAAATACACTTGCAAAATTTTGGTTAATGAACAAATAGGTTTAGTAAAACAAAAAGAAGTTATAAATCTCTAACATAAACATATGAAGAATAAAATTGTTTAAGTTTATTCGAAAAAGATGTAGACGAATAACTTGCTATGTCTTTTGAAGGCCGTTTTGGTATCTGAAAATCTATTACGTGAAATATGACATTTCCACTGTTTGGGTACACTTAATCCTAAGGAAATGAAAATAGATTACATCATATTTTTCCAAAAATCAGGAAATCATTTTGCGGGCTAATACGTGAAAAATCTATTACGACGGGTAATTTTGGGAAATTTACTTTTTTTATCTACCCTATCCCTCATTAAAAAATCATCTCTAGTGAGCCCTCTCTCTTCATAATAACTAGCATAGATGATTCCTCCCTTTTAAGCTCGTTCCCTTATCTGAAGGATTAGTTATCGTATAAAAACAAAAATAATAAAAATAAAAATCAGTAATCAATGATAAATTACACAACACAATCATAATAAAAAAATTTACACAATATAATTCTCCTAAGATATTACTAAAATCTCAATTGAAATAACATAGATCTTTAGTCTTCTCCAATACCTCAAAATTTTATATTGCAATTACCAACCCTTCTAGTTTACTAATCAAACTTCTTCTCATTTTTTAACTTGTCCTATAGAGATTTTGAATTTAGTATCATAAATTTATTGTTGATTTAAAATTATACAGAGAGACATTTGAAAGACTTCTATAAAAAATAAATAAAAATAAAGCTTATCATAATAAAATCATGTTATTCCAATCGTATTATTTCAATGACTTATCATGTTGAAACCAATGTTATGTTAGAAGACATATGATTCCATGTAAGTACTAAAGGCACATAAAATAAATAGGAAATAATGTCATGATGACTGTAAAATGGTACAAGTTATTATTAGAAATCTTTTTGGAATGATGATGCTGTTATTATTAGAAATATTTTTGGAATGGTGTGATGATGATTTTAATTCCGTATTTTAATGAAATTTTGTGATAAAAAAGAAACAAATGATAATTCTGCATTTTAGTGGAATTTTATGACAAAAA